TCCTCAGCTACGGCGGCATCATCCCCAACGGAGGGCTGCTCGCTTGAAGACTCCACCTCGGAGTAGCTCTCCGACTGAACCGGGGCCTCCACGGAAATGTCTTGGGAGTCACTCGCCGACGACATCCTTAGGCGTTCAGAAGATAGGAGCAGGAGAAATGAAAGAAACCGAGGGCTCCCTAGAATACTAACACTAAAACTAGGAAAGAAGGGAGCAGAGGAGGAACTGACCTCAGAAAGCTTGGGTTGATCGAGGGTGAAACTTTCTCTCTCTAGAAATTTCAGCAGAGCTTCGCTTCAATTCTAAAACGCGCAACAGAAATGAGCTCAGACTTGGGGTATATATAGGCAACTGGGCCTCGAAAAATGGGCCTCGATTCGAAAGCCCATCATTACGGGCCGCCGGTTCAACCAATGGATGGCACCCGCCCCCCACCGACCAACGGAGGCATGCCACGTCAACTCCTCCTCCAACGGCTATATTACAACGACTATATTTCGGCAACACTGGGGGTGCCTTCGGATGATAGCCTCCGGCTATCACCCGCCACACCCTTCGAACAATTAATTCCCCCAAACGCCTTCGAGCCCGTAGCAGCATAAGCCCTCGGCTTATCAATGCTATCACCCCTCGGGGGATCATCAACTCATCATAACTCCTTCAGCCCGAACTCGCCTTCGGCTTAAAGGAGTGGGGGACTGGCATACACCCCTCGGGGATCATACACAACAAAAATTTCTTGGAAACAAACAATTTACAATTGACGCGTGCAGCCTCCGGACAAACATCAAAGTGGAACCCCTTCGGCAGAGGCAGGATATCACAAGTTTTCTACAAGTCACTTGCGGAAATAAAGCAGCCCTCACCACAACACACGCAGGCAATACACCTATGCTTTCCCCAGAAAACCCTCGACATGTGAGGGACTGAGGAAAGCCTTCTGCAGTCATACAGGTGTTATACTTCCCTCAGAAAACCCTCGACATGTGAGGGACTGAGGGAAGCCTTCGGCAATCAGCAGTAGACAAAGTTCTCCAGCAAAGGCACCCAGCGAAATGATGAAGCCACCAGAAGAATCAACGCATCTACTCCTTTTCCCTCAAGTACCTTTCGGCAAAAGGAGTGAGGGACTCCTGATGGAGTATATGGCCCAGGAACCCCCGGCCCATAGACTCCTATTTCTCCTACACTAGTCCATTGAGCTCAGGAAACAACTCAGGCCCAAATACGACGGCCCAAGCCTCAAAGTGGCCCAGAATACACACTGGGGTGCCTTCGGCCTCCTTGGCCGAAGGCTCCAGAACTCACAGCATAGCCTTTTCGGCATAGGAAGCTACTGGGAGAAAACGGGCGAAAACATGAGCCTTCGGCATTGTTATGCCCTCGGCATTGTTACGCCTTCGGTCACACGGGGCCTTCGGCCGTACGAGGGTCCTCACCACATGGAGCCCTCGGCTACACCGAGAGCCTTCGGCTGAACTAGCTCAATCATCGAAAATTCCTTTTAGAGACAGCCAACCACCGCATTTAATGCCACGTCGCATCCGCCAACCGCATTCAATGCGGTTGACGTACCACTGCCGGTGCCACCAGGCTGATGTGACCCTTCGGCCGTTGGATTACTGACACGTGTCCTCTCATCGCATTTATTGCTGCTATAAATAGCAGCCCATTTCTCCTTGTAAAGAACACCCTACATTTCAACTCCACGTCTCGAGTTCATTTAATGAAATCGACTCTCTCTCCTCCTATTTCCTCTGACTTCTCTCTAGTTATTTCCGCAATAACCCTTCGGATAAGATACCCCCCGGGTAGACTGTCCATCAACCACGTACTTGTTTTGATATATTATGGTGTACCAAATATTATGCTTACAATATTAGTAAGTTTTAAAATCTAGGCTAGTAGTCGAGCAATCCACCAGAACACACTTTCCACTTTTCTATGAAATTCTCTTCCTGCGGTGATATCATGTTACTTATCACCCTTACCTGATCTCTTTGTAGTAAAATCCTTGCTAGCTGAGTGATCCTGGAATGTTTTGTTGCTTACGATATTCGAAGAGGGCTGATCGGCGCTGCTCTTCATCATAAGCTAATGACTAAATTTGTATGTCCCCCAAGTCTTATAATTTTGATTGTTCCTACTTATTGTTAACTCCAGTCAGTCAAAATCTATAAGTACAAGAAATTAACACTGTTCCTAGCTTAATTGTTTTAAGGTTTTGAGTTAGTGGATCTAAAGGAAACTTCCTAGCTTACCATGCTTAGTAATGTCTTCAAGTGGATCAGATACTACCTCTAAAGATGGAAGGCACAAACAGATCATAGATAGTGTTTGATGTTTAACTGGAATGCCTAATGATCTTAAGGGTTGTTATGTGCTTTAGTATATAACATCTATAATAGTAAATGATGAACACTTAAGCTCTAATTCTTAATGTGTTGCTGCATATTAGTAGTATCTATTTTTGTTGCTTATTGTTTCTTTATGTTTCTATATTTGTGTTTCTTTTTGTTTCTTTTTGTTGTATGATGTTGCTAAGCATGCTTAACTTCCAAGCTTACCATGCTTAGTAATGTTTTCAAGTGTATCAAATAATACCTCTGAAGATGGAAGGCACAAACAGATCATAGATAGTGCTTGATGTTTAACTGGAAAGGCCAACTGATTTTAAGGGTTGTTTATTTCATTCTTAGAAATTCAAGGCTCTTCCAAAAAATGTTTGTAAAATGAGGTGTGATGGAATGAAAGGGAAAGAAAGACATGTGTTGCTGCTGCTATAATTATTAGGTATATATAAGAGGTGGCGCACTTATATTAGTAGTCTTCTTCAACAACGGAGATATGACCACTGTCGAGCTGCTCATAGATAGCCTTAGTTCTTTTCTGCATTTCCCGATGCTTGGCCTTCCAAGCGTAGGCTGCAGCCAGACCTAATGTAAATCCCATGGCAAGTTCCTTGTAGAACAATGGACCTCCTAGCTCTAGATGGGGAACCCTTCCAGCACCCATTTTTGTCTCTTCATCTTGCTTAATCTTTCAACCACTGTTTTGCTTCTTTTGAATGGATACAAATCATCATCATCATCATCATTTTCATTTACCCCAGTGCCGCAAAGGCTCCCACCTACGGTGGGGTAAGGGGGGTCGGATGTACGCAGTCTTACCCCTGTACTAAAGCACAGAGAGACTGTTTCCGGATGACCCATAGTGAAAATCGCGTCCAAAATTGCATGGACTGACTGCTGCTTCATAACAAAGAAGCGCAGACAGTTTAGTGAGCCATTTTGCTTTATTCCATCATATTCTCAAGCAAAAAAATAATGCATCTTTGGCTCCATTGCAAATGATGGAAAAGCTAGAATGGATACAAATCAAAGAAGAAAATGTAAAGAGGATGGAAGCAGCCGTTCAAGGGAGGGAGAATGTGCCTCACAATAGGATCAATTGATTTTAAGGGTTGTTATATGCTTTGGTATATAACATCTATAATACCCCACCGAAGCTTGGACCAATGGGAGTAGTAGGGGGATGCTTCTAATTTTGAGTATGATGATAGCCAGATCCATTTACCCCACTTCTTAGTTCTTACCCCTTCAGAAATATCATGCCCCACTTTTTGGCTATGCTTTATATTTAGAACATATGGCTAAAAAAATAAAACGATTGGCACTCAAACTGCACATGATAATTTACACATTCTTACTTTACACTCTTGCTAAGCATATCAATTGGTGCACACTTTAATCCTGCATCTTTACTTCAGTCATACATTTTGGGTGTTTATACACGCACACTTACACATATATTATGTTCATGTGAGTGTGCCTCTTACTATTGTAGTACAGTTCTTTTTAGGTGAGATAAAATGACTTTTTGGTTTGACATGAGTATGGATAATTAAGTCAAACTCTGTTATAGGTAACATAAATGTGATAATGTTGTAGAATGAGCGAGTTTCTCAGAACTTGATTCAGTCAAATACGAGATCATTTTGCTGGAATGACAGATATACTCCGTACAAGGTTCAAGGGGATGAAATCTACAAGAATTGTGGTGTATCTTAGTTTAGTGAATGGCATTCAAAGGCACTTACAAGTCTTTGAGCTTATCATCTATTTTATAATTTGTTGGCAAGATGAATAGTAAATGATGAATATTTAAGCTCTAATTATTAATGTGTTGCTGCATATTAGTAGTATTTATTTTTGTTGCTTATTGTTTCTTTATGTTTCTATATTTATGTTTCTTTTTGTTGTATGATGTTGCTTTGTGTTGTATAGTGTTGCTATTTGTTGATTATTTTAATTTCTTGATTTTGTTTTTGTTGTTTATTCGTCCTTCAAAATGCAAAACATAGGTGGGCACACATGGATGTTTATACATGCCTATATGGTACATTTGAAATTATTAAATCAATAATGGGAGACATAATTAAACAACAAAAAACAAAATTTTTGAATTTGTCAACAAAAATAAACATAATAAAACAATAGGCAACAATACAATATGCCCTGGTGATCTTTATTAATATAAAAAGGGAATCGTGGGAGAAGATTTGTAACCGCCGAGAGCAACTTCTGGACAAGTTCACGGTCTAAACAAACAAATAAAAGCAGGCCCACATTACAATTATTTTCGGTCTACATAATTAAGGTCTAACATCGGCCTACACAATAGATACAATTCAAATGGGACCTATGCTATAACTGGACCGCCAAATTTTTCAAAAAGGCCACAGCATTCCTGAACTGGCTGATCATACATACGGCCCACCTGTCATGTGGATAACAAAATTAAATAAATAAACAAAGTTAAAATATGAAACGACACTTCTGATAATAAATACGTAATTGTAGAACGTTGCCATAGAACGTTAATTAACCGCCTGACAGTTATTTCCACAGCACGTAAACTGCAAACTCCAATCACTTATATATATATATATATATCATACGGATCAAACTTGATAGACATTCGTAAGTGGCAGAAGTCAAAAAACAACTAATCGTCACCGCCTTTGTATTTAAAAAGAAAGAACCACCCAATAATGTTGTATAATCGAATTTTCGAGTTGAATACCACAAAAACCGATTGGGCTTTGAGGTTGAGGTTGGTGCGATGCTATGCTCATCCAAATTTCAACAACAAGCACGATCAAAGTGTTCCAAATACACTGGAATGCATCTTTCATGATTCAGAGGTACCAATGATGTGTGTACTTACAAATTTATTCTAATAACAATTTTTCCATTACACAAGTTTGATCTTATGTTTGTAAAACAGGGTGATCGTATCCATGCAACCATTCGCAAGGAGCGCATAGCAGCGTTTAAAGATAAACTCAAAGAGGGGGATTTGTACAGTGTTAGGAATTTCGTTGTTGCACCTAACACAATGAAATACAAAACCACCACAAACAGGTTTAAGATAATGTTCAATTTCAAGACAACTGTGGTGAATTTTCCTGACGACGATTTCCCAAAGGCCATGTATGCTTTTAGGCCGTTTTACGAGATGGGGATCCCTGATCAAGTTGATCTCAGGCAACTGTTTGGTATGATTTTAATTCATCAAACCGCACTATATACACATCAAACCTCTCTATGTATACAATGTTTAATAGTGGGTCAACTAGCTAATTGTTTAATTTTCAGATGTCATTGGTAGTATTGTTTCCATTCATCTACCAGAGCCTCAACAGTCTAATGGTGAAACTCAAAAGTTGATAGAAGTTGTTTTGGAAGACCCTGAGTAAGTAAATTAAGATTGACGTAGTACTGTATGAAATGTAACTTCTTTTTAAATTGACTGAACTCAAATATAGTCAAAGGCGAGTGAAGTGCACATTGTGGGGAAACTTTGTGGATGCAATCCTAGAAGGCTACAAAAAGTATCCAAATTTTATGTTAGCTGCAGTTCTGTTTTGTAAACCAAAGATATACAAAGGTATGCACTTCAATATTTCATTCAACCTTCTGAAAACATTATTATTTTAACAAAACAAACCTTTACAGGTGAAGTGTCAGTTTCAAGTTCTTACTTTGCTTCAAAACTCATAATCAATGGGAAACAAAGGGAACTAGCAGAATACAGAAACAGGTATACGCATTGGATATGAATATTATGACAGGCCAATATGAATATGAATATAAATAGTAAAGTATTAATAATTTTGTTTTTGTAGGTATGATGTCCATAGAGATGATGGTTTTAATGGGACACCAATTGTGTATACTACTTATGAAACTGAAGGAACATCCAGTAACACAAAAGATTTTGTCACCATATGAATATAAATAGTAAAGTATTAATAATTTTGTTTTTGTAGGTATGATGTCCATGGAGATGATGGTTTTAATGGGACACCAATTGTGTTTACTACTTATGAAACTGAAGGAACATCCAGTAACACAAAAGATTTTGTCACCATAGATTCACTGTTTACAAAGGATTTGGTAGGCACTTAAAAAATGTTTTTCAAAATACATCTACATTTACATGTAAATTATTTTGATCACTTCTAAACTCACTTGAAGGTAGGACGCTTCTGGATATCTGGGGATATTATTGACATCGAGACAGGAGAGCACTGGTACTACTTAGCTTGCAAGGATTGTGCAAGGAAAGTTATACCAAGATGTGGAAGATATGATTGTCCCAGCCCAGGTTGTAAACAAAATGACAATGCAACAATCAGGTATGAATCTAATTGTGCTTCAAATCAATAAACCTATTGTATTTACATTAAACTCAAAGAATATATATACATACCTAGATACAAAGTTAAGGTCAGGATAATGGATCATTCTGGAAATGCTGCTTTTTTGCTATGGGATAATGCTTGCTTTGACCTATTTGGAAGAAAGGCAGCCGACATGTTGAACGACGTGGTATTTAATGAAAACACATATCATACATACCATATGTAATATGCTCATGGACATTTTTAATACTAAAAGATGTTAATTTTTTGTTATAAAACATTACATTGACAGAATGAATCTGATAGTGGCACACCGGCAGAGTTGTTTAACCTACTAGACATGAAAGTTCAGTGTTTGGTTCAGGTCCAAAACGATGGACCAAAAAGGGAAGACATTTCCTTCAGTGTTTTGAAGCTTAAAAAGGTTGACGTTGACTTAGACCACAAAGGGGAGTCATCGGGAACTAAGGCAAGTAGTGTAACTTATTATATTTGTGCAAGCACATTATTAATATGAATTGGTAACATCTTATCTTACTGATATAAAAAAATATTCAGAACACAGAAATTGTTAATGAAATTCCAATGGAGGAGGTCCAAATATTGGGAAAAAATGCACAACAACCCTGTGAGACTGAAACAGAGGCTCAAGCAACTCCTAACATTTCAGACAAGAAAAGGGGGAAAAGGACAGCCACTGTTGATGATGGAAATGCTTTTGGAATACGCAAGAGGCCCATCGGAGGCATCAAAATCAAGACTGAGAAGTGAAGATCACCTATTTTATAGCAACACGCTAACGTGTTTTATTAGTATTGTTGTTTAGTTGTTATAAATAAATGTCTCTATATGACATTGTGAAGTTTCTGTATTGTGTCAAGTACATTATGGTACCCAGAATGCTTACATTTGGTACTCTCCCCGTTTAATTTTCATGTAATCATTGTAATAAATTTGACAAGTATGATTCAAATAGAATAATATTTTAGTGATTGACATTTAGTCATTTCATTTGCCATTACTTTGATATACATACTAATGACTAACCTAAACAATATTCATAAAGTATGCAAACAACTAAGCTGTATTTAAGGCACCTAAATTGTTTTTTTTTTCAAAGTTCAATCTTCAAGACAAACTTAAACGAGAAAATTTGGTATCAGTTAATTTTTGTAAAAAAGTAAAGAACAAAAACAAGTTACATACCTCTTGAAGAGCTTTTGGGTTTTTTATTATTTCAGTTATTTCTATTCCTAATCTTTTATTGTTTATTACTTTACAACCTTTACTAATGACGACCTCTAATCCTGACCGCCGCAAAAAGTAAATCAAATTTGCACACCCTCTTTTAAGAGGATGGTGTCCACCGCATCCAGACCAGATCGCCATGTTGCATCGCAATCCTTGACAACTGGCAATTATTATAAACTTTTAGATTTATAACAGTTAAAATTTAAAAAATTATATATTACAATTTTTTTTAATTACATTATTATATATGTTTTTAGCTTATTGCATACGGTATCAAAATTGCATATTACAAAACTTTCTACTATACGATATTGAAACCATTGGGAAGACCATTACAAAGTTATCAAAACTATTATATTTTCACATAAATTAGAACAACATAAAAAAAAACACTACTTTAAACGAAAGCTTTTTTTCACTGCTACTTCCATACCCCAAAAATAACATTTTACAAAGTAAAACCAACTAATATTTAAAATGGAATTTATTCATAAATATAAAAAAATGTCAAATGTGATTTCTAAATAGAAATATATTTTTGGAGCCATAATATTAAATAAATCAAAATTATGGTTCAAAATTTTAAAATGGCAATGTTTTTTGAGAAAGAGGCACTAATAAATAATTTATATAGTACAAACCATTGGTACACCTTTATAGTTTATACGACATGACTTTTAAAAAAATACTACGTACATAGTATTGAAGAGATGTATTGAAGTGGGTTACAATAATAACCGTGTCTCTGTAGCTTTACTTGTGTACATCCCTATGCGACAGGGGTAATACTTATCCTTTTATTTTACCTTCCTTTCTCCTACACTATATGTTCCTAAGAAATTTTTGGAATTTTGATTTTCTGAAAGAACTTGGAGGCGGCAGAGCATTGTATACAAGTGGTTTTTAGCCATAATGACAAAGCCAACAACGAGTACATCAATTCGGGCCAAACGTGCTGTGACACCAGGTATGGACAATGCTTTAAACCAAATATAAGTTACATTACTTACACGGTGTATAAAATCAATGTCAATGAACCAATACATCCAAGGCTTCCTGCTTCGTAGAGCACCGGCCGTCCTCAACAAAAAACCAAAAAAACAAAACAAAAACATAAAAACAATTTAGGATAACATACATTATTTAATAAAAAGCAGGAAAATTGACATCCGATTGCCTCAAATAAGGATACACTTTGCAGATCGGTGTAGGCAAAGTAGTTGACAAGAGCGGGGGGACGATGTCGAACCTCTTAGTATGTGGACGTCGAAGGTAGGAGGATGACGTCGTCACGCCGAGGCAGCACTGCGTCGGAAAAAAATAAAATCGCTTTAGATAAGCGAATACTACAAAAACCGAAAAAGCAGTCAATAGATATGATACAAGCAATTGAGCAGGACATATCTACACAGATCCGCCTCCGACACTCCGGATGGTGTAAAAGGACGGCCAACGCTACTGATCTGTTACGGCGTCGGTGTAGATGTAGGATGGGAGAAGGAGAACTTTAGGAACAGAGAAGATATATTGAGGTTGGGAGGCTTTTGTGGTCTGGCATAAAGAGGCAGAGGTCTGAGGTGAATGAAGAGCGAAGGAGGTGAATACAAATCGAGAACGGCGTGGATGTTTCTATCGCTTGATTGAGGAGTGTGGCTATTCTCCATTGTACTGTATAATTAAAATTTGGCTTCTCAGAATAAAAATTGAGGGTTTGTATCTTTGCGCTGAATTTAGAAAACATAAAAACAAGAGGTGTAGTGTAGTGTTTGCAACAGCTTATGCTTTAAAAAAAGCACTTTTGGAGTGATTTGGAAAAAGTGATTATTTGTAAAAGTTGATAGTGTTTGAGAAAAAAGTGATTTTGAAAAGTAAAAGTTGGTAGTGTTTGATAAAATAAGTGCTTTTGGTGTATAAAAAGTGGAAAAGCACTTTTGACACGTAAGTCGAGAAAAATAAAAAATTGGTAGTGTTTGGTAAATAAGTGCTTTTTTAAACCAAAAGCTGAGGAGTGCTTTTTTTAAAGTGGTTGCAAACCAGCCTGAAATGGACCGACCATTGGCTTCTCAGCTTTACTTAAAAATTACTTCGTATTGTATGTTGTACTAAAAAAATTTGAAAAAGCTTATGACTAAATACTAACTATTACGTATTATATTAAAATTAAAAAAAACAAGTGTTATTTAATTTTAATTTAGAGTTGAATTAGTAAAATTTATGGCCAAGTCAAACTTTCTTAATTCATTTAGTCTAAATTAAAGAGTTTAACTCAAATGTTGTCTTTTAAAAAAATACTCAGGTGTTGTGGTTTATATTTTTTGTTAGGTAATATATTTCTAATTTTTACTAACAACATTTAGAAATAAAAATATACTTTTTTAAGGATTTCATGTTTTCATAGATCAAGCATTAATCTATTAATGATGTTTAAGGCTATGTTGTAAAAACCGGACCGGTGAGTGACCTGGTCATGTGACTGGGTCACGGGTCAACCCGGACCCGGAGGGTCAATCCGGTCAAAGCCGAAAAACCGGTCAACGATTATACGTCTATATAATAATAATAAACATATAATTACATACACTCTCATTATATATTTTTATTTGTATTGTACATTTATATTGTAATTTGGCATGATTTTCATTCTTAAATAAATATATAAATATATTACATAGTTTTTCTTTTTAGGGAATTGATATTTCAATTTTATAGGTTTAAAAAATGCATAAAAATTAAAAAAGAATTTTTTTTTTTGGAAAAGACCGAAAACCGGGTTTTTCGGGGTTTCTTGGGTCGGGTCCAGATCGGTTTTTTTCGGGCCAGCTGGGTTTTTCCGGTTTTTGACCATTTTCGGGTTTTGAAGAAACCGAACCGGATTTGTGTCCGGGTCACCGGATTCCGGGTCAACCCGGTTGGGTCGGGTCGGTTTTTTAAAACATAGGTTTAAGGATGTTTTTACTTGGAGGGTAATTTGTCCCAGACCAGACTATATCATACCAGTGCAGACCAGATCAGACCAGGCCAGACCAGTTCAGAACAGACCAGACCAGCAAATTACAGTCCAAGTAAAAACATCCTAAATGCAGTATGCAGTTTAATTTATACGTGTGATTGCATTCAAAATTACATTTTTTGGAAGATATTTATATTCCTATTATTTACAAGGTGTTGATCAAGTAAAAAAAAAGCGTGGAAGGTATTCACCAACAGATGAGGTTATAACACCGACGATAAATCCCTTATTAACAAAGGACGGTGTGGACGCTACTACTTCAGACCTACTTGAACTCTCTAGATATCATTGTTCTACTTCTTCTATTGAACCAGGTTCAAGTTCTTAAGTATATTACATGTCAAGTTCTACGTGTAATCTATGATTTAACCTGTATTAGTCATTAATTTTACAACTGTCTTATTAATACAATATTCATACTTACTCCTACTTATACAGATATTCAATATTGGGATATAGAAGATCCCAAATACAAGTGTCATTTTTGTGGGGCGGCGTTTTGGTATGATGAGCGGTTGAGGGCAGACTACAAATCTAAAAAACCCAAATACTCTGGATGTTGCATACAAGGTAAAATAAAATTGCCACCAATGAAAAGTCCTCCTCAGGTTCTCCTTGATTTGTTATACAGTGATACTCAAAAGAGCAGGCACTTTTTACAAAACATACGATCGTATAATAGTATGTTTTCTTTCACCTCAATGGGAGGGAAAATTGATGTTAGTCACAACATCGGAACCTCTCCTTCGGTTTTCAAACTGCATGGCCAAAACTACCACTTGATCGGTAGTCTATTGCCCGAGGAGAATCAAGTGCCAAAATTTGCACAACTATATATTTACGACACAACAAATGAGGTGGTGAATCGTATAAAGTCAGTGAGGTAAGCACACATAAATGCAAAAAAAATTAAAAAGTTTGTGAAATTAATATTGCATTGAAATTCTTAATTATGATTTGTTATGTATCAATAACATTTTCCTTTTTGAATAGGAATGAAGCTAATCTTGACACATTACATGAAGGCATTGTTTTAGAGTTAAAAACTATGTTGGACAAAAATAATGTTTTCGTCAAAAGTTTTAGGATGGTAGGTGAGAAAGTAGCTGAAGGCAATTTGAATGTTGGTCTAAAACTCATTGGTAGAAGGGGATCTGATGCTAGGACTTATAATCTTCCTTCAACATCTGAAGTAGCTGCATTGGTTGTCGGTGATTTCGATGAAACGTTAGGGAATAGGGATATAGTACTTCAATCGCATTCTGGAACCTTGCAACGTATTAACGAACTTCATCCAGCATACCTCCCTTTACAATATCCCCTCCTTTTCCCTTACGGTGAAGATGGTTATAGAGATGACATTCAATTTTGTACATCATATGAATCAACGTCAAATGGAAGAAATTGTGTAAGTCTTAGAGAATATTTCGCATTTCGTTTGCACGAAAGAGACCAGGAGTCTCCGAGTATTCTATTCTCAAAAAAACTATTTCAACAATTCGTCGTTGATGCATACACAATGGTTGAATCTGGTAGACTGAGGTTTATAAGAACTCATCAGACACAGTTACGATGTGAAATGTACAAAGGTCTGTCAGATGCTCTTTTACGAGGTGAAACCGATTCCCGCGCTCAAGGTAAACGTATTATATTACCTTCTACGTTCACTGGAGGAGCACGGTACATGATTCAAAATTATCAAGACGCCATGGCTATATGTCGGTGGGCTGGGTATCCTGATTTGTTTATAACATTCACATGCAACCCAAAATGGCCAGAGGTTGTCCGTTTTCTAGAGGCAAGGAAGTTGAAGGCAGAAGACCGAT